ATCTACCTACCAACCCTATTTTATTTCAGCATGTAACAGTAAACAAACATATTTTTTTGTTTGGCCTTATGAAATTGTATGGCTTGGAGTCTTTTTCACTTCTCTATAAAATTTTCTGTCTGGATGATGTCTAGCATAATATACACCATGCAGTGAGGATTTTAGTTCACCTGAGCTAAAAACTCGAGTGAACTTTTCTGATACCTTTTGTTTTGTCTTTTGTCCATCAAACTGTCGATCCATCAGTGAGCTTTTCACATTTTCAACTTCTTCTCAAGAACCACTAATTTTAACCAAGGTTGACACAAAGTAAGGATATTTTAAATTGTACAGAGGAAGCCCCCTCCCCCCCCCCCCTTTCACCCCAAGGGGAAATGATCAACTCTTTCAGATATTATTGATATGATCATTGTTGAGCAACTTATAATTTTGTAACCTGTAGACTTTAATTTAAGAATAATGAATATTTGTTTAAGAGTCCTTTTGTCAAGGTTCAAAGTTCAATTAAAATTATTTTGTGATACATGTATTTGAGGATTCGAGATATCAGGAGTAAAATATTTAAAGAATACTTCCAATTACTTCGACATATCTGTGGTATTCAAGATGCCAAAGTTCAACTGTATGGCTATGCTAAAGTAGTAAATATTATAACTTACTAAAACTTTCTAACATTGAAATATGTTAAATGAAACAAGACAAAAATGAAAAATAAAAATTTACTGATTTCTGGCTGGTCAGTATTTTGATGACTGTAATTTCTAAAATATTCAATGAAACACTTTGAAGCTTTAACTGTAGGTATATGTTAACTAAATATACTATAAGATAATATTTATAAATGAGAAGTTTTGAATAAACATTACAACATTCGTGTATGTAAATTGGGGGTAAAAACTGGTTATCGGTAATGGCTATCGCCTTAATTTTCAATGACATAAAACAAGATTTAGAATGCAGGTAAATAATACTAGTAAGTGTCTGTACATATGATAGCATATAGAACTTGTACTGAATGTTGATTAGCTAAATCTTGAATGGCTGATATGTTGGTCGTTTTTGATGAAATTTAGATAATTTGTAGGTAAACTGAGTGTACATGCAATATGAAATTATTCATAAGGTATTAAACATGATTAAAACATGTGTATGCAATGCAACATATGATGAATTCATATTGACTTGTATGGATATAGCTTAACATGTATGTGCATTGTTTTTTTTAGGGTCCTCTTCTGCAGATGCCATGAGATGATCTGTCTGTCCATCTGATATCACTTGTCCTGAGTACATTTTTTCTCCTCTTAGCCCAATCTCACTCAAATTTAACTCATAGAGTGCCTGTGGATGGAGGGTAAAAAGTGACCTTGGACCAATTATCAAGGTCAAAGGTCAGTATCAAAACACACTATATATCTTTATTTAAAGTCCTTGTCCAGAGCATAATTTTTCTCCCTTGGTATGATCTTGCTTGTGTGCCATGGGATGAAGGGTTTTTAGTGATCTTTAACAAAATTTCTAGGTCAAATGTCAATAAGAAAAAAAAAAGATTCGTAATATCCTTGTCCAGAGCACATTTCTCTCCAATTCACTCAACTAAAAGCAGTGTTCTACATGTACGAGATGGTCATATTCTCAATCTTACCTGCTTTAATATTAATCTGGCTTAAAACCTTACTATGTAATGTTCATTATTCGGATTTCATGTCATTAAATTTAAAGACTGAAACTAATTATAATCACTGATATTGGTACATTAAAGGACATTGAGTGATCTTGTAAGATTTCTAAATAATATTCAAGCATACAATTCTTACATCAAATAATAATTTTATATGAAAATATATTGCAGATTGACGCAGATGATGTGAAGAAAATACAACGGAAGCTGATGTTGAAAGAAGTATAGAGTATTTAAAGAAGTTTTTATGAATGGACTTAGATGTGAAAGACTACTTCATTGTGTACCAAGATATATGATTTTATTTATTTTGATATCATTTTCAAATAATGTTTTTGCACATCAAATGAATTATTAAACATATGATTTGATAATGCTTTTTCCTTTTTATACATTTTCTTGATAGATTTTGAAAAGAAAACACAGTTTACCAAGGAAATTAATAATATATATTTTGATTTAAACCTGCTGTTCTCTTTTCACATTCTAGACAAGAAAGATTAACCATGGAAAATACAGGGATCCTTGAGCTTCCAGTTGCTTGTCAATCATTTTTCGAAATTGAAATGCTCAACCTACCCTGTAGTTTCCATGGTATGGAAACTATTACACCACAATTACACATTGCTTCCCGTCTCAGAAAAATAAGGGAATCTTGAAGTTTCCCTGTAATTTCCTTTTATGAGACACCAAGTTTCCATCGCACGGAAACCGCTGCGCTCCAATTCCATATAGTTTCCTGAGTCATGGAAACTTGAGGAATCACGAGGTTTCCTCTAGTTTCCGTTCATGGGAAATCTGAGGATTCCATCGAGTTTCCATTCCATGGAAACCACTACGCTCCGATTCCACATAGTTTCCTAATTATGGAAACCAGTGGAATCTTCAGGTTTCCCATTACGGGAAACTACATGGAGGCTCAGGAAACTTCAGGTTTCCTGAGGTTTCCTTGGTTCGGGATGCCTTATGGAATCGGAGCGTAGTAGTTTCCGTGGTACGGAAACTTGACGGAATAACCTGGCATCCGCTGCGGAAACCACTAGGAAACATGATGTAAACATGAGGTTTCCATGTGGTTTCCATATAGTTTCCCATGACGGGAAACTGCTTATTTCACCCAGTGGGAGTTAGCATCCCCTGTTGACCGGTTACACCCCCTGTAAGCTCTATGTATTGATGAGGTAGACAAAACAAACAATTGGTATGAAACAAGAAGGTAAAAGTCGGCCCATTGATGGGTTATATGCTGTATTAAAACGTACTTACACAATTCCCAATCTCTGGTGTTTCATTTTTTCCCTGTTCCCCATTTGTCTTGATTTATGAGATCGATAACTTTCGTTTTCTTTAATTTTTAAACCCAAATGACACTTTTCGTATAATACTAATAAAAATATCCACAGGAAGAAACTAGACCTCTCAGTTAAAACTGAAAGGCGGCTTTCAGTGACTTTTCAGTGGCCATTCAGTCACTGAATGGCAGGCACCTTTCAGTGACCTTTCAGTTACCTTTCAGCCACAATTCAGGTACCTTTCAGTCACCATTCAGCGGACACATTTCAGTTATCTTTCAGTGACCTTTCCGTCGTCTTTCAGTCGCCTTTCAGTGACCTTTCCGTCGTCTTTCAGTGACCTTTCAGTTGTAATTCAACGACCGTTTCATCGGCTTTTCGTTAGTTTTATCGGTAATTATTCCTTAATTTTTTTTAAAATAAAATTATTCACATCTTTAAATGTGTTTTTGTTTTCTAATTGTGATAAAATTCAGATATGTAGTACTAGTAATGATTAGATGTTCAATTGTCTTTAAACTGTTTACTAAAATGTTAAATTGTGATTATTAACTATAACATTTATGTCTAATTATAATTTTATTAACATTAAAGATTACAATTCAACTGTGGAATCATAAAATTCAAAATGATTTTCGAATTTCTAATTTGTTTCATAAAAATTGATTAAGAAAAAAAAATATTCAAATGATGAAAAATAATATTCGTATCAGAATTTAATTAACGGGAATCGAATTGTCTTATTTTTTCTTACTGTAAAATTTCTAAATCTGTGATGAATATTTTCACAAGCTCATTCAATTTGATAAGTTGTTAAATGAATAAACAGATAGTCAATCTGAAAAAAAGGATCGAGGATATCAGTCAAAATGCTCTTAAAATAAAAAAAAAAGGAGAAAAAGTTTTCTTATTTTTCAGCTTAGTTTTTCATTATTTTATATCCATCTGACACAGTGTTTAATGCGGTTAGTTTTCATGGAAATATCTGGTTATGAAAGACGAGACATAATTATTCATTTATGCTTTTTCTGGAAGAAACTTTAATGCTGTAAATTTTCTTTCTTAATTGTTAAAATCGCATAATATTTAGCTTGTGAAAGATATCGTTTTAAAATTATTTTACTTAAACAGAATTAATAATTTATGCCTCGTGTGGAAGGACCTTAATATTGTAAATTTTGTTTCTTGATTGTTAAAATCGCACGATAATTTTAAAAGATATCGTTTTAAGAATTTACAACGTTTTCCGAGGTGAAGATCCATCTTGAATAATTTCTTTGGAAAAAAAAACAACAAACAGGTACCCGTCACCGATAATTGTCATCATCCCGATAAGATATGTGTAATTAATTAGTCAGCCCCCAAAATCCGCACAATTAACATAGAATATACAAAATGTATACAAGATATATACACATTCCCAGCTCCTCGATACAACAGTTGAACTGGGTGTTCCAATTCGATTTCTACAAATGTATTGATTTTAAATCTCATATTATTAAACAAGACACCGTGGCGTAATGGATATAGTCACGGACTATCAAGCGGGAGGCCACGGTTCGACTCCTCCTTTCTGCAAGATTTTTTTTATATTCACTTTTTTTTTCTTTTATTTTATTCGGTAATAGATCAATTTAATACCATTATACTAAGAAAACGTGAAATAAAATTTCTAAGTTGAAAAATAAGCCCATTATTTAATAAAAAGATACAACTGAAAGATAACTGAAAGGCCACTGAAATGTATCTGCCATTCAGTCGACTGAATGGTAACTGAAAGACCACGGAAAAGTCACGGGAAAGGATCTTTTCAGTGACCTTTCAGTGGCCATTCAGTGGCCATTCAGTTACCATTCCGTCGATTGAATGGTGTAATTTCATCCTGTGATCATCATGTGTCTCTGCTTTATTCAATATTTGAAATAATGTATATAAAAGCACTTAATCAATATTGTAAAGTTTCGTTTCCTTTATTTTATTATTTCCTTATCATGTACCTGTAATATATGAATATTGAATTCTTTAAGGATCGGAACCAAGTATAATTGAAAAGGTAGTCACCAGGAAAGCTTGTGTGACTAATGGAAACGTCTGCAATTGTGAAAAAAGCTATGAAATAAGTGTGAGGAACTGCACAAATTTCCTTGCATACAAATTAAAATCTACGTCTGTTTGTCCAGAGAGATATTGCTTTGGTAAGTTTTGTGTGTACTTTATAAAGTCAAACAAATACTAGTTTATGTATCATCTCTAAATTTTGCTAAGATAAGTTATATTTTTAGGCACACAAGGAAAATGTTTTAAGGACAAGAAAGAGGCTTCAGGTACGATACCCATTCTAAATAGTATATATTATAAGCGTTGTTTTGAAATGTGGGCGATGTTTTCTGTCTATCTGATTATGGGTATGGAAGATAAATAAGATAATGGGTTTATCTCTGAAAGAGACAGCTCAAAAAATAAAAATTCATTAGCAGCAATCATATTTGTCTACAAATGAATCATTCTCCTATTTAAAAAAAATTAAAAGAAACACAAATATATATATGTTAGGAAAGGTTCATAATAGATGACCGTTTTCACACTGTTCTATGGGAGTTAGCGAGTTTGAGGATGAAGATGATAAACAATTACAGATACGATCCGAAGTTCAAGAAGGATTTATCCACTTGATTTGTTTTCCCCCTCTAGTGTTAAAAGCGGGATATAAATGTGGAGGTAACCAAAAGTAACGAAGCTGATAAGTCCGTTGAAACAAAACAAATCAAGAAGCAAACAAGGACCTCTAAGAAGAACAGAGATCAGATGAGGTGCCGAGGAGTGAGCATCCCATGTCGACCGAACAAATCCGTCTTGTGCTACTTTTAATGATCTGGTAAACATAAAAATCTACAGAAATTTAAGTGTGTAAATAATGGGCTAACAACCAGTATGCAAAACGCCAGTCAGCATTTGAAATATTATTCTTTCATCAGCTTATTTGGTACGGAAGCCGGTTGGTGCCAGGTAGAAAAAATATTTTTCTACCTGGCACCTACCAGCTTCCATAGTTTGGCAATAGCTTGCTTTGTTTTAGAAATTGTTCGTAGCTAGAAAATTTCCTTGGGTATTGAATCAAGTGAGAGACCTAAACCCCACATGAAGGTGATAAGGGTATTTTGCTACATTCGAAGGGGGAGGTAACAATAGTAAAGTTGAAGTCATGACCCTGACGTTTATCATAAAGTTTTGTGGTTAGGTTGTCATTAACGTCTTTTTAGTTAAATATTTAAATATGAAATTGACAGATTCTGTGCTATCTTTTATTTCAAGTTTAATTTATGTCTGCTTGCCTACCTGTTGTCATTCTATCTGTATGCATTACAGTTGTTTTTCGGACCATACCTAAAACTTCTTATTTTATATTATAGTTTCCTATGACTTAAAATGACTCCTATTAATTTTGAAATCAAAGGATCAAAAGTCAAAATTTCTAACAAAATTTCTTTTCATATGTTTCTGTAACTTTAAAAACATCTCTTATTGACTATTTTAATAAATCGAAGGTCTTCATAAAATTCCATTATTCCCCATATATTAAAGAAGTTATTTATTTCTAGTTTAATAAAGACCTTAAATCACTTATTACGTGTGTATAAGAGAGCCAAGGTTTAGGGAACCCCGATCATCCAACTGGCGTCAAAATTTCATAAATATTATGAATTCTGTGGAAAATTAGGTCAGACAATGGGCAAAATATGAAAAAAGACACCTTGTCAAAATGGATAAAAATTATCACATGGTTGTTGAAATATCGTATTAAGCGATTGTGGGGCAATATGAAAACCGTCCATCCTTCTGTTTTCGACAATGCAGACCGTCACCGTAGCTCAGTCGGTAGAGCGCTCGCTCCGTGTTCGGAAGGTCGTTAGTTCGAATCTTGGTCGCGACTGCCATAAGTCGATAAAAATAGGTGGCAACTGTTCTTTCGCCATATGCCCTCACCTCACCCTCACCTGATTTTTTGAGACAGGTAAACATACCCCTCAGGGTGTAGTTATCATATATGATCCACTACAAAAAGTTTTAACTTGTGTTAAACTTCATCACAGAGTGCTAATTCAAGTTTGTCCAATTCATGATCCCCATGGGTATGGTGGGCCACAATAAGGGAAGCAAAGTTTCACATGGGAATTTATTAGGAAGAATCTTGAAAAATCTTCTCAAGAACCACTGGGCAAGAAAAAGTTAAATTTATTGGAAAACTTCATAACAAAAGATAGATTCTGATTTGCTCTTTCAAACTCTACTCCTCCTACAGTTTTGACCCTGGATTTTATTAATATTCGAAGCTTAAGTATGCTACACTAAGATACATAATTCTGTTTATCGGTTTTTGATTTCCTTCAACACTGTTGCCACGGTTAGTAAAAAAGGATATTTTTTGTGAAATTTATTCAAACTGCTATTCCTCCTAGTGTTTTGGTTCAAACTCAATGACTTTGTGCACAAACAGCCTTTAATAATGTACATAATGCAGTGTTTATCAGTTCTTGATTTCCATGAGTGAAATTGCCTAATATTAAGGATATCCGATCCTCAGCCAGGAAGGATAACTCTTTAATTTATTATTTAATTCAAAAAGTCTCAAAATGAAGCTTAAATTTGAAATCTTTTCATGCAATAATTTTCATTTTATTTATCTCAAGGTGATTCAAGGTTCTTCGAAGTTTTAGAAACATTCTTTTAAAATGTTGATATTTTTACCATATAAAGGTATGTTAATAAAAGTATAGATTTAAAGATATCGACTTTTCCTTTAATTTAGCCTTAGATACGAATGCTAATTAGCATGATATGAAATTAGAATTGAATTATATTGTTTTACAATGATAGGAAACACTTTATAAACTGTGCATTATAAAATAATTGAAGTACACAGAAGATACTAACGTACTGTTTTAGTATAAAAAATCATGCATTTTTTCAAATACCTGGATACCTATAGTTTTTTATCCTAAAACATTTTTGTTGATCAATTTCCAGTTAGAAAATGCATAGTAAGTGTCTTTATTCGCATTTCCTGAAAATTTATTTGAGATTTACTAATACTAATTTTTCCTATATAATATGATCTTTAATGATGAAGTTTGCACAATTACCGTGAGTAAATTCACATTACTTTTAGAATTCAGAGACATTTTTGTGAGCATTTTCAATTATTCAATGCCTAGTTTTCAGAAGCTGAGGATCGGACTACCTTAAAAGAAGATCAAAAATACATGAAAAATGCAAAATCATTTTTTTTACACTTATTTGCCCTCCAAGGTGAAAATAGATATTCTGAAAACTTACTGCACATCCACAGGACACCACCAATCATCTTCCAAAATATGATTAGGCTACTGCGTAAAATGTAAGAGGAGTTCTGGAAACCAGCGTGTTTTTGTACTTAAAAACGTTTTTTAATTTTTCAACCGCATTTGACCCCCAGGGTTAAATTGAAAATTCCAAAACCTTATTGCAAATTTACAGGACATTACCAAAGATCTTCCAGAAAACGATTAGGCTATTGCGTAAAAAGCCAAGATCAGAAACCCATATATAGTAAAGTGTAGTTTTTAGATGACTTGGGTCCTACATGTAGGTTTTGCAATGAAACTAGAATCATGAATTTCTCTAACTTAGAAAAGACCCTATTGACTATAAGGCCACAAGTTTAGAAGCTAAGATCAATATTTTTTTTTATTTCTCCATATGATTTTTAGGGTCCTTAAGCAAGGATGGAACTTCCCTGTATTAGCTTTTATCTTTATTTTCTTTTAGCTTTTTAAGAGTGTTTATATAATTATGAAGTAAGTCAGTGCATCTCGCAGAAAAAAAATCGTAGTTTTCACTTGTAAAACTTGTAAATATTGGATTGAAATCTAATGGATTTGGTTCATATAAATTAAAGAAAATCTTTTAATTTTTTTTTTTTTATAAATACCCCCAAAAATTAATATAATTTTTGAAACATACTTATTTATGGAAATTATGTAGATACATTAGACCTTTCGATCTCAAGAACTATATAACTGAAGTTAAACATCATTTTTAGAAGATATGTATTTAAATTAAGTTTACGATGTCATAAGATGTAAATTGGTTGATATTCAGTTTACAGTTCAGTTTCTTAACCTTTTTATGCTAGGACTGCTACAACACCTGAAATTCTTGCGTTATAAGAAATCGTTTTATTGAATGTAAATATTTTGCAACGGGATGAAAAGCTGAACAAAATTTATTGTGTGGATTCTAAGGTCCAAACAAAAAATATATAAAAATAGATTTAAAAAAGAAAATCAATAATGCTTAAAACTGTACAATATTTCTCTGTTAAAGGCCACCGTTTCTATCCCTGTGTTACCGATCTCCACAAAAATACCTTTAAAAAACTTGTCACATTTCTCTTCCATTCATCTTCAACCTGCTTTAATATCACAGAGCTTTCATACACGAGCAAGTTTACTGATCAAATATGCATAAGACTGAGTGTTAGCAAAATCATTCCGTTATGACAGACCATCAATATTGGACTTGATATTTATTTTTTTATTTCATTTGTCGAGTAATGCATGTGATCAATGCGAAGTAATAGCTGAAAAATTATATGAGAGTTATTGGCACAAAACGCAACAGGGCTAGCTGTTGAAGGCAAACAATAATTCTTTTTCTTATCAGTACATCATCATCGTGATCCTTTCTCACTTTTTAAGAGTTTATTTTGGATATTATTTTTCAGCCTGATCAATACATCAGCTGATAACATACGCTTTCTGCATGATTCCTGTCTGTTTTATGGCAACTTGGCTATGTTAAGTAATGCCTGAGTTCACATTATAATTAGTGATGCACATTATAAGAAGTATAATTGAGACGTCATCTAACAAGCGACAATCAATTTAACCACATCATGATACTTAAATTACAACTTGAATTCATGTATTATATCAGTGATATATAAAATCATGTAAAATAACAGCAATTGATAACAATACTGCTAAGTAGAAAGAAAAAAATCTTGTCATAATTGACGTCCTAGATTTTTGATGACGCAGTACAAGTGATCCAGAAGAGTAGATTCACTGGTAAAATATACCCTTCAAAAAAGAAATGCATGGTAAAATTTAACGATTTTTAACATATAAAGATTATTTAGTAAAATGATGTATTGATAATGAAGAAATTTGGTTAATAAAAGGTCTACAATTTAAATGTCATATTTACTCAAGAATTCTAACATCATAGACAGTATAAGGTCATTAAAGATCAATGACTGGAATGCCCTAAACAGACTCAAATGATAAAACGGCATCTTATGGAAGCCAGTGAGTGCATTAAAACTGTATAGTAATGCTTTCACACTCAATATGTAGAGCTTTGGTTAGCTGTTGCAGGGTCTGGGGATGTAATTATCTTAGACAAATCATGCCAATCCATTTTGCCAGTCTGGCGGTTTTGATGGCCATGGCAGAAATTTGCTGTGGCTTTGCAAGAATGCGATTGTCAAACAAGCCGTATGTGCCTGTGTATTGTCAAATTAAAATTCGGCTCCAGGATGCTACAATATTGGAAAGGCATTTACAGGTAGAACTTTGTTAGAGTACATTTTACTATCAAAGTCCTTTGAATATGAACCAAAACAGTCTCACTTGTATGTAATACCGTTTTTCTCTATCATTACACTACCAACATCAGATCTATCAACCTT